TACCCTTCCCCGTCGTTCATGTCCCTTCCGATTAAGCTTTCAGTGACAGGGTTGGTGTTCACGGGAGAGGTGGCTGTCGCGTACGAGGGTTCGCGTGGCCGAGTGCACTTGTGCATACTCGATGAATTGGATCCCTATGGTCCTGCGTGCAAACGCCCACGAAGTCAATCCAGCACCCCTCCTGAAATGGACGAAGACAGCGGAAAACGCGACGGAAAACTTTTGCCAATTGGCCAGCGCCTCCTCCCGTCTATCTTGATCGAGAGTGAGATTGGCCAGGCGGACAAACATGTTCTTAAAAACGTGACGCGAGTCGAGAGGTTCATTCAAGATGTCATACGGAATACAGTGGAGGAGGAACTCGTGTTTCCGAATTTTCATACATTGATCATTGGCGACCAAGGACGCTCGTGAAAACGATAATGTAATGTACAACCATAGTGTAACTGTATATGTCATAGTAGTGATTTGCTCATGTAAGGGCCGTCGAGCTCGTAGCCAAGTTTGCGGTAATAATCTCGAGTACCGACACCTGTGGAGAAGGTGAGTGGTAAGCTTCTCCTTGTAAACCAAAAGTCGGACCTGATATGACGGCGAGCTTCACACTCCCATGTTCCTCCCGTGCTATTCGTTCTGCTTCTTCCATGAGCAGTGTTCCAAACCCCTGATGTTGGAATTTCGTTGGGTCGCGCCCGTGTACTGGGACCGCAGTGCCATAGACATGGAGCTCACGGACAATACTCGACCCTCCCGCTGCACCTTCCTTGCGCACAAGCTCAGGTCGGAAGGTACCTTCTTCGGAACACTTCCGTAGACGAAGAAGCCCAATCAAGATGTCTTGCTCTGGGTCCTCGTAAGAAAGGAAGGTTTCCCACCCACCATTGGCCGCATAATCTCGTCTAAGGAGCTCGACAGATCCCGGTCGTACTTTGTGGTGTATTTCGTGTATCTGTATGAACATCAGTATTCGAGCCACTATTTCAGGACGCCGCACGCACGCCAACTTCGCGATACCGCACATCCCTGCATTCTGCACCAAAGTCTTTCATTCGATTGAGGGCCAACTCTCGTAGATTGCCTGAATTTTCACAGCCGCTTGTGACCAGCGGCAATGGAATATCCCTATGGGAAACAGTTGTGTTAGAATCATGTTGTTTCACATCGAGTTCACGAGACTAACCTTTGTACACGATATACTCGCGTCCACGGAGGTACAAGCGCCAATATCCGAGCAACGACATCCACCAAGACATTCGGTGTGTAATTCTTGTACTTGCCCGTCCGCCAAAGCTCATACAAGCCTGTCCCTCGAATGACCAGAGTAGGATATATCTTTAATCCATCACTCCTAAATGCTGGATTCTCAAAATACTCTTTGAACTGCTCAAGATCCCGCTCCAATCCCACATTTGGGAGATCAGGCATCATGTGGGCGACGACTTTGAACCCTGCATCTTTTGCCATGTGAAAGGACTCGGAGACTGCACGCACAGTATGTCCACGATTTGTGTCTCGGGCAACGTCCTCGTATACTGATTGGACGCCAATTTCGAGGCGCGTGCAGCCGTAGCGGAGCATCTGTGATAGATGGGGCCTCAAGCAGTAGTCTGGTCGCGTCTCTATGGTTATCCCGATCGCCTTTGACTTGCTCTGTTCCGAGTATCTATACGAGGCATAAATATCCTGCTGTTTGAAACCAGAATAGAGCAGTATTTACCGTACCGCTTCATCAACATCGGTGCCCGTGAATCCAGATAGAGCGTTATGTAGCTGTGCGACGAATTTTGCGCGGTAGTCCTCTGGCATACTCATGAAAGTACCGCCCATGATTATGAATTCGACCTTGTCGACACTATGACCAAGGGCTTTTAGCTGTTCGACACGACCTCGCGTCTGTTCGTACGGGTCGTAGCGCGCACGGATGGCACGCATACTTGTTGGTTCATACCCAGTGTAACTTTGCGTGCTGTAATCAAAATCAGAATCCGGCCCACCTGGGCAGTATCTGTACAGGGATGAGGAACACAGATAGAGACAACAAAGTGGAACGTACACGCAAATGTTCCCTGTCATAGCGATGTGAGGACATCGATGCGGTTTGCACATCACTGCTACCACAGCGATCTACGAGGAGCCATCAGATCCAACGGGTCTCGTGGGAGGTAGACGAGCTACATACACCACTGGCCGTTCTTATAGGCCTGGCACGAAGTTTAGGCAAAAGAGCCTTTTTATATTCGTCCGGTATGGCGCTGATGATATCTACCAGCCTCGGCACGCCCCCGAAGCCATATTTCTTAGAGATCTTTGCGCGGAGTTCATTCAGCGAGACTGTTTGGTTAGAATCGTGGGCTTTGATTAGTTCTGCGGCGATTCCTGACGTTACACGAAGAAGGATCTCGGCCTGGGAGGGGCCTTACTGAGATTGTGAGTTGGTGGATAAAAGTGAGTGTGTGATGAGTTTACCTTCGGTTTTTGACCCTTGAACCATTTATAGGCTATCAATTCGGTTGCCAAAAATTATGTGTGTTTTGTTCCTTTCTGTGAGTTTGCTTGCTTGTCGTGCAATCCGATCTTGAAGAATTAGCTGGTGAATGTATATCTACTAGGAACTGCCGAATCCCGATGTGACTATTACCTCGGGTCACACATTTGTCACGCGCTATTCCGTTGTCACACTTTGACTCACCGAGGCCCGACACAGGCTGAGCTAATATGTTTCGACAATGTCGCTTTTCACGACTGCAAAAGTTACAGATTCGTTCTTATTATGACTCCAGGACACATGCTCCGAGAAAAGGCGACAAAGGTGAGTTAGATTATCCAGTAGTAAATTCCTCATTGATTTCGCACCCAGTTGTCGTTGCAATGTCCGGAGGAGTGGATTCCTCAGTCACCGCAAAATTACTAGCGGACAAAGTAAGCATCATATGTCATACTGTTACAACTGACATATTTTCTGTACCGGCAGGATTATGACCTATCAGCAGTGTTCATGCGTAATTGGGATACACGCGACGAGTCTGGTTCAGATCATGGATGCGAGTGGGAGAAAGACTGGGAAGATGTCAGACGCGTGTGCGGGGTGCTCGATATACCTTGTAAAATGGTATTTTTTATCTGATTTACTTTTACAAGCTTCTAAGTTTGCTTACTCAAAGGTGGATCTCTCCCGTGAGTACTGGACGCGGGTATTCGAACCCTCCTTGAAGTCCTGGGAGAGCGGTATCACGCCCAATCCTGACGTGTGGTGTAATAAGTGAGTTGTTTTATATCTATATCAGTATTTTGTTCTTAATCTTGGGTCAGAGAAGTTAAATTTGGCGCATTGCTGGACCGCCTGACCGAAGATCCTGGGCTTTCAAACACTCCATGGCTTGCAACTGGTACTTGATCTTTTTTCTGTGCTCGATTCAACTCACCTGCTATGCGTGCAGGCCACTACGCAAATAAAGATTGGAAATACCATAACGGCGTTCCGCGACCAAGACTTCTTCGTCCTCACGACGTCACAAAGGACCAGACATATTATCTGTCTTCTGTCCCTGAACGTAGCCTTTCCCGTGCTATTTTCCCTCTAGGATCCATAAAAAAGACAGAAGTCAGAGAGCTCGCCGTGAAGTGGAATTTACCAACGGCTGCCAGACAAGAAAGCATGGGCATATGTTTCGTGGGGGAGAAACGTAAATTTCATGATTTCATATGTGAGCTCAGACTTCGTGCCTGGCATCACCCGCTGAACCTTCTAGCTCAGCTCAATATATACCACCTAAGCCTGGGCCGATCATCGATCTGGAGACAGGACTCCAGGTAGGCGAGCATGCAGGGCCGTGGAATTTCACTATTGGCCAGGGCGCTAAAGTGAAAGGTCTCAAAGAGAAGACCTTTGTTGTGAAGAAAGACATCCCAAAGAATATAATATATGTCGTACCTGGAACGTCAGTGTTCTCATATCCTCCTTGGAATTACCAACGTTCGTTAATTTCCAGAGATCATCCAGCGTTATACGCACAATCCTTGACCATTCGCGATTGGACGTGGATATGGGCCGATAGTCCACCAATAGAGCTCATGCGTCCTGGCGGTCTCAAAGCACGTATAAAATTCCGACATGTGATGTCAGACATAGGCTGCTCAGTGTACTCGTGAGTCCAGCCGTTGTTTTATCGTTCACAATCAGTTAATTAGGTCAGTGACAACGATTGCATTCGCATCGATTTCGATGAGCCGCAAAAGGCCATTGCACCAGGACAAGTTGCAACGATTTACATTGAATACTGGTGTTTAGGATGCGGTACAATTGTGGAAGTAGCTTAGGTGCCGCACTCTATTTCAAATGTCATGAAACGACGAGTTCAACAGGTAATGATGTTCGTACCTGACTTTTGATTGCAAATTCTACAAAATTTAATAATAAAAGCTATTTAAATTTTCTTAATAATTTTATTATTCATGTTTGATCTAATTATTGCGAAGGGGATTTTCGTGGATGACTGTCGCCTGAGTATCTGCATGAATTATGTGCAGCTGCCACTTCTACTTCCAAAGTAAATCCGTCTTGTACTCGGGCACAGCACCGATGGGTTCCACATTTTACTCAGCGTAATTTCCCTCTTGCGATCATCGTCCAATTTGACACCAGCACATCGGACTGGTACTCTTTAACCTCGTACAAGCGTTCCGTTCACTTTCGGACGTCTACCATCGAAAACCAAGATAGATGAATTAGAGGTAATGCAACAATACAGGACTGATGTGCAAGATGCATACTAGTAGTGTGAACAGAGGACAAGCACTGTAAATTTGGTGAGAGGTGAATACAGCACTATAGAGCCTGTACGCAGGCAGACACTCATATGTTGATCATTAACAATGATTCAAAGTGTTTGGAGTGACATATGAAGTTGTGCGAACATAAGGAATTTGTTACAGTGCCCACCTGGCCCAAAATTTTATGACAAATCAAAAGGGCTCTATGTCATACATGTACTTGCGGGGAAAAGGCATTTATGGCTCAGCTCCATCTTGGTACCGTACCAATCAGCCAAACTACCGCTCCTAGCGTTTGTCGCGGCGGGAATCCTCACATGTTCGTGCATGTCGCGTATAAAGTACTATAAATGATAGGTTTTAATGTCGTGGACAGTATTATGGGAGCTCCAGTGACGTATTCTTGCACCTTTCCTTCCTCCCTTCCACCTTGCTCAAGATCACACCCCTCAGCTGGCTTCTGAAACCCGTAGCACCCGACCCACACGCTACCTGCGGGTTCCACCCGGGCGGGTACTCGGGCACCTTCTACCCATATCAGGCCCTATGTACGACCATATATCTGTCACGTAGTAGTGAAGAATGTATGGTCGGAGCTAGTTGTGTTATCAATCTATTCGAAACAGTGAGGATGCAAAGATAAGATATGAGAATTGAGTCGCACCGAATCCCTCAAGAGGCCAAGAACCAAGGCTAGACCTTCAAGATTCTCTCCTAAAGTGTATTGTTCAGAAGATAGAACTCGCCCAGTACCATCTGGGTGCCTTTTGTACACGAAGAAAATCCACTGTTCTCCGCTGGTGACAACACCCCTGATGACATTTAAGCTATCATAAAGTTAGACTACGTCACGGAACATAGAGCGACAGAGAGCTAACCCCCGCAATTGGCAATATGAAGCCGCAGCAATTGTAGCTCGAGATAGACCAACCTGAACCCTATCGAGCTCAGCTTCGAAGATGCTGGACGACATTAGTTCCTGGGTGTTTCCGAGAGCCGCCAGTGCTGTGGTTGGATTGTTCAGGAGGAATGCTAAAGAACGGTTCAAATCCATTCTAGCACGCGACAGAAAATGACTGACCGGTGTACTTAGCGGGGAGTTTAGTCACCAGGAAGTCAATGACCCCACTGAACGAACGTTTGGCAGACCCATCAAGTTGGTTGAAGATCGTGCTAGGGATATGGAATTCTGGAATTATGTTCACCGTCGTGGTATCCGGAGACATGACCGATACAACTCTCAACAAGAGTATGTTGATCAAGATGCGACATCCAGCTTCCGTCTTTGGAGTTTAAATGAGTATACAGTCATTCATGGAAATCAGCCACCGTAACATACCACTGTGTGACGCGGCCGCGCACTAAACTTATCAGAAATCGGGTAGTCTCCATCGGAAGACACCCTGGTATATCGGTAAGTCCAAAAGTTTTGGCTTCTTGGCTCTTGTCGCTGGTCAGAAAAAGTGGACCAAACGATATTCCCACTGAAGCTAGCATTGTTGAATCGACCTTAGAGAAGGAAACGTCCTAAGGAGAGGCTGATCAGCGCTGTGAACAATTCAGCGTCATTCACATCACCTTAAGGTCTTCCAATTTGCCACACAGTTCTCGGATCAGACCAGCAAGCCCTTCATCAAGGTCAGAACGAAGTTCCTCGAGCTTATAAAGCAATTCGGTTGTATCTCCTACAGTTAGGTCTGCAAGCTTTTGTCGGTTGGCAATGGGAGGCATGATGTGCGATACACCGACAGATGCGAGAGACATAGGGGTTTCTAACATATATAAGCTTGCCGTCGGCTCGGTGTCAATTGTGTCCACCCCGTCATGCTGTGCAGCACGCAGATTTGACCATTGACCTAGTGTGGCCGTTTCCTCCTCTTAATTATACGTATCGTGTTGAATTTCACGTGTAGGAAGGAGAAAATATAAACAACTACATCTATGCGATCTTGACAGTCTGAATGATATTCGTAAGCATAGACCAGCGGCCAGGAACAATAAACAGACGTACTTTGGCATACAACGAGTCTACAACCTTGCTAACTTGTTCCAGGGTCCCAATTGCTGCACCATACGTGTTCTGAAAAAAAGGATAAGCATGAATGAGAAGAGTGAGAAGAGAGGACACGTCAGCTTCTAGCTCATCGAATACGATCAGGCATCCTCGTCCCTGATCCAGCACGCCGTGGAACACCTTGTCCAAGATCATCTGAGATAGCCTAAAACACGATATTAGCTACTTTTCACAGAGACAATTCAATGCGCACTTGGCCTCAACGTCCTGCCGTCCTCGCCCGACCTGTTTGGCAACGCAGTCAATCTCTACCACCGAGTACGGCTCAACGATACGCAGTAAATAAGGGTGTCGTAAAGCGCTGCGAGATGTGAGCGAATAGTAGAGTCGGACAAGAGTTCTGTGTAGCAATGACAAGTCAACAACAAGTTGTGTAAATGGAGTATAATATACCATGTTTGTAATCCCGAAGGGCCTTCTCGAAATCTGACAAGTTCCGATTCTGATGCGCAAGCGCTATCGCACGCATGCTCTCGATCTCGCGGAGCTGAGCATATTTCACCGCGAGCTTGATAGAGAGAAGTGATGTTACATCTTCGGGCTGGAACACACATCAAAATGACTGACGAGTCAAGATCAGTGACATCACTGTGACAACACACCATATTCAACATGACCTTGCACAAAAGCATGTACTTGAGTGCGCTCAGCGCTGCTGGGTCATCCTGCGATGACATGTTCTCGAAAGTCTCATAGAAATACGAGTATGCAGTAGTGTAATATTTGTCCTCAGCATGGAGAACACCAGATTGGAGGTCTAACGCTGCTTGAAGATGAGGACAATATATTGAGTTTGCAGCAGTCCTGGCAGAAGTAAGGGCAGCCTTTGCATTTCACGGACGTAAGGGCACATGATGAGAATATCGGGATGGCACTCGAAGGACTAACCTTGGACTTCGACAGGTTTCCAATGCCACGGTAGAATGTTCTCTCGAGCAGGTGTACTTCGGTAAGAATCATCTTGTCATCTAACCTTTTCAACTCTGTCAAGAGTGCGTCGATTCGTGTTAAGGCTAACTTATACTGCAGTGCTTCAAGCTGCCTGTACCAATGGTCAGCATTGTCGTAAGAAGTAGAAGTGTTTCTTACAGGGAAACGAGTCGAATTTCCAAGCTATGTTTAAGGAATATGCGCTTTTCGCGCTTTGACCACTCAATGTTGTCGGTTAGGACATCGATCTGGGTTTGCCGGCTGTTAGGAATAAAGTTAAAGTAATTAAGAAGCGTGCGGACTACAGGGAGACATTAACGAAGTATAGCAGGTCAAGAACAGAAGGCACTCACTCAGCTTGGCAGTCTTTGCCTTGGCAGTTGAAGACATGAATGATCTCGAGAGTGTGATGACTTGCGCTAAGCCACTGGCATCTCTGTCTGGAGTGAGGCTTGCGCAAAACAACAGACTTTGCAAGACTCACTTTAGAGCTCTGCGAGTTTTATCAAGGCTAACTCTTGGTCACGCAAAGACTGTTCCTTGTCGGCATTGACTGCCGATCCCTTGGAGGTTGACGCTGAGACCATGATTAGCACCAGTCAAGACATACACTGTTCAGCACACCCGTAGAATTCAATATTTGCTTGTAAAGCTCCTCTGCACGAGATGTCTGTGCACTACATTTGCTGTTGTCTTTTCCTCTTCCTCTTTTGCAAACAGCGTTCGAATTTCTCGCCGACATTGTAATCTTGAAAGTGCGGTGTATAGCTGTCGTGAGCGAAAGAATCTGTACGCAGGTCAAGTATGGCTTTCTGGAGTGTCAGTCCTTGTCATCAGTTGAATGTCGTGGCGTAAGTAAAAACTGTTTGCGATTTACGGTCCAGCCAGAACGGTACTGGATTGAGAAGGTAATGCGAGGCAGGCAATGTATTTCTCAGATACCGGAAAAGTTAAGGGTTATCAAGTCCGAGTCGGTAATACCGGTATGTATACAGTACTATATGCGGCGGGTGGCGTTCATATCACTTTTGATTATTGTACATAATGCCTACTCGCTCGTTCCTCGGTTTCTCGATTTGACTCGTAAAAATTAAATGGGTACATTGCTACATACTCTGCGAACATAATCATAGCACCATTTTCAATCACACTTCATGTACAGCGAGCTACAGGTGAATTCAGACACTAACGTCACGTGATCAACCAGAGTATGAACACGACCTATATATATCTTACACAGTACTTACTAGTAGTCACTTGTGAATAATCGTCGGCGGGTGTACTCAGAATCCCTAGCTTTCATTAGCTGGATTACCGGTCCATGTCACTCCCGAACTCATTCGCATCGCGAGGCGAACAAGGTACACTTCGTTTCAACTCGTTAGTGCCGAACTTTGTCGAATTGTGAGTTGCCCCGGTGCTCGGGTCCCAAACGAAAACAACATTTTAATTACGTAGCGAGCATCATGTCTACTATGTGGCGTCCTGTTCGCATGCTGTTCGGTATAAACTTCCATTATAATTACGTATGTCATTTGCTATAAAATATGGAACTCGAGTGCTACTGATCTGTCTAACTTATCAAGCCATGCTTGCTACCGTTCTGTTGCTTGCTCTGCCATTCTGCGCTGCAGAGTCGGCATCCAGTTATGCAGGATCAACCGTCGTTGATTCTTATCCTCCCCCCGGTGCCACCAACACTGCTGTTGATGCTTACTTCCCGGATGAATCTCAAGTCGGTTATGCAGGTCCAACGCCTAGTCAGTGTTAATGCTAATCGTATTTCCTGTGTTCTAATAAATAAAAATCAGCTGGTGCTGAACCTGCAGCTATTGTTACTGCCGTCCCGTTCTCCAAGGTCGAAAACATATTTCCCTTGTCGAGGCCCAATTCGGCAGATGGCGTAGACAGCACTTTCAATGTGACGCGTCACTGGGGCAACTTGTCTCCCTTCTACTCTGTGGAGTCGTTTGGTCTTCCTGACGCATCCCCCATCATCCCAGAAGGGTGTGGTCTCAATGCGGTGCATCTCTTGATGCGCCACGGCGCCCGCTATCCAACTTCTGACTCCGGAATTTCTCATTTCGCCGCTGACATTCATGCTGCTGCAGTGAAAGAGGGCTTCAACGCCACTGGTGATTTGAAATTCTTGGCAACCTGGACATATAAACTGGGCGCGGAGATCTTGACGCCTTTCGGCCGCGAGTCGCTGTACGTTCGCTCTGCTTTACGATGCTTCCACTGACGCTCTCCTCCGTCAGCTTTAGCAACGGGGTAGCCTTCCGCTACAGATATGGCCAGTTGCTTAATGCATTCACGGACCTCCCAGTATTCCGCACTACTTCTGAAGGTTTGTTTGCATCGAACGTTTATTTCACAATGGGTTCTGATGGTTTGCTTATGTCGTATAGATCGCATGGTGGATTCTGCGTGAGCAATTCATTCATATTTCTGCGTGCGCTGCGCCTCATGATGTTATTGGTAGCCTGAACTTTGCTGCAGGCTTTTTTGATGTCAGAACTTACGAGACCGACTATCACCAGGAGATCATCATCGAGGAGAACAACTTCAACAACACCCTCGCTCCTTATGATGTGTGCCCCAACGCCAATTCGGAGGATATCGGTTACTTCGGTGGCACCGAGGCCAGTAAATGGGCGGATATCTATCTCAAAGATGCTCAAACGCGCTTGCAACCAATGCTCCAAGGATTTAATTTGACCATCTCACGGTTGGTTTACATGCAACAATTGTGCGCTTATGAGGTGATCTTACCCTTTTCACAATCTTGATGGATCTTGTTCCTGACATCCTGCAGACTGTGGGCCTTGGATATTCCAAGTTTTGCGACCTTTTCACTGAGAAAGAATGGGAAGGATTCGAGTACTACAATGGTATGTTTCTTTCAATGATCCTTGCTGAGCTCGGCGCTGATCTCTATTTGCAGATCTTGGTGAGCACATTGAGCGGTAAACTTGCAGCCTGAGCGACTGTTGACTTCGTTGTGCACAAAGATTTCTGGTACAGCTGTGGACCAGGGAATCCAACATCAGCAGCGCAGGGCCTTGGCTACGTTCAGGAGCTAGTGTCGCGTCTCACTCACACTCCCATCAATGTCTGGAACAGCAGCACCAACAGCACTCTTGACTCGAGCAACATCACATTCCCTCTTAATCAACCTATATATGTGGATGCTACCCATGATGTGGTCATCTCCAGCAGTATGTTGCCACTTCCTTCCTTTCCAATGCAAGACTACTGACGAACGGGCTCAGTCGTCACTGCTCTGAACTTTACTAGTCTAGCTGCGACTGGTCCTCTGCCAACCGACCATATACCCCCTCATCGTGTATGCAGTCTCATGACCCACCGCTTGTATATATTGCTGACGAGTCACATAAGTCTTACATTGCTAGCCAGATCGCACCTTTTGCCAGCCAGCTTGTAGCGCAGGTGATCAGTTGCCCAGCCTCAGAAGAACCAACTCATATCCGGTTCCTTCTGAACGATGGGGTGGTGCCACTGACAGGGCATTCATGGTTGTACAGGAAGATTCGAACGGTCTTTGCGCGCTGCCCAGTTTTATCAGCGGGATGCATGAACGAATTGGGCAGATCAATTACGCGCATGATTGCTTCGCCAATTATACTATGCCCAATCCTGACAACATCATCGATGGAAGGTACCCTAGTTAAAAGGATGATTGGCTATTTGTTCGCATATACCCACAAGTTGGAGAATGTTAATGATGTCGAAAAAAGGTGAACGACGCGCATTTCCCACTAATCCATTTTTCACGGACATATTTCGTTATTACATATAACAAGCAATTCACTCGCTTTCGAATGGTTCGGTCGTACCATACATTGTCATCCTCTCGGATTGCTTTACAGCAGTAATGACGAGTAAACTATGTCCTCCGTCTCCCTTTCTTCATCCGTGCCTGACAACAACGCCCGAATGTCGTAACGGTTCCACACCCTGAATAGCGCTTTGCCAGTGAACCGTGTGTGAATGCATCGGTACGCACGTCGGAGGGTAAGTCCTTGGGAGCTGTTGAACGTCGTCCCATATACTAATGGAAATTGTTTACGGTTGACTGTCCAATTCGAATGCGCAGGGTTAAAGGAGAAAGTGATGCGAGGCAGAGTCTAGACAATCAACTTCGCGTGGGATCTGCACTTTGACGAACCGTCAGCGGTGAGCATCACGAGGATAATTACCAGTTTGTTCAGAGAGAATGAAAACAAATCATGAACTTCATCAAGGTTTCAATCGAACGCGACATACAGAGTACTTCAGTCTTCTCCTCCGAGCCTCGAGAACAGTCGTGCATGCACCCTGAGCACTCCACTCCGTCGTCAACCATGTGCATTCGAGACACGTGCATGCGTCACTGTCAATGTTACTGGCCTTCTGAAGAGTTTTGACATTGTGAAAAAGCGCTGCGCGCCTGCCCCGGAGGACCCCTTCCCCCAATTTTGCTACAAGAGCATGTGTGCATGGTGAACTCGTGTTACCAGCTTCTACCGGATCGTACAGATGATCACGAAGCTCGATGACATCATTGCATACATCCCGGAGGAACACGCTCATTGAAAGAATGACTATCTTTGATCAAGGACAATGATTAAAAGCTTACTTGATGGACATGACAAGGGCCAGACCAGCTTGGGAAGAGGAGAGTTTGAAGGTTCAGCAAATAGGTCCTTCGATGTTTGAGAATTTTGAACGTTCAAGTGAACTGGCCCGGCGTGAGTCTGATGATTACACACTCCGGTGGATGTACAACGTCATAAAGGATGCTTCCGTTTCGATGCTCCACTCATGATCGTAACCGCCCATCTGGAGATACTGCAACAGTCTTTGGACGCCCACGCTACATCGATAGCAGTTTGCTGGTAGTTTATACGCTTAATCGTGCGCGTATATGTGCCAGTTAGCATTTCTCGCTCCGTGTCCGCGTGGCGGCCATACTTGTAATGGCGGAATTGATTGCCTTGCGGTGCAGCAGTGGCCAGGAGAGTATGCAATGGAGCCAAGTGGCGATTTTCAAGACCCAACTTTGATGCTCGCAGGAACGAGAATCTCATTCTGCCTCAGCCTGACTTGAAGGTGCTATCACCACAGCTAACCAGTATCAAGCGATTAATTCGTTACGTTCGTGTTATCACTTTTCAGTACAAGATGAATGTAGGAAGAGATCTCGGGTCGATTGATTCGGACGTGGCTGGGAAATTATATCAACAACAGGTGGAAACACAGTAAAAGCGGCTACGGCGCCTACTGAAGAAAGCTCCTGGAAGAAGCGCTGGAGATGATCCGTATGTAGGACACCACGTGTCTACAGCAAAGCTGACATCAGGGTTCAATAGTCAGTACCTTACAGAAGATGCAACTTAACGACTACTCACTATAGCGCATGTAAGTGATTGCTGCTCCTTCCGTATTCCTGCTAACCAAGACACCGAACAAGATTGAATATTGAATGGCGGTCACCACCCACAAAGTATCCAAAAAAGCGCCCGCCCAGCCTGTTGAACTGACACTCAAAGGTCATGAGGAAGCTGTGTACGGCGTAGTTTTTATCCTCGGTACCCGTCTCCTCGTCACTGGCTCGACAGACAAGAGTCTTCGGATGTGGGATCTGGACACTGGGAAACAAGTGGGAGAGCCCTTGTTGGGACACGATGCCCAAGTCTGGGCGGTCTCAGCGTCCCATGATGGACGTTGGATTGTGAGTGGGGGAGGCAATGGAAGCATTCTGGTCTGGGAAGTTGCGACAAACAAGAGAGAGCTCAAAAGAGTGCCCGTCTTGTGTAAGGGCCATGAGAATGCGGTTCAGGGCGTCGTGTTTGCACCGGACAACAAGACATTTGCAAGTGCATCGGAGGACAAAACGGTATGCGTGTGGAAGAGGGAGACGGGAAAAATAGCCCTCGGACCACTCAAAGCGGGTGGTGATGCATATGTAAACTCGGTGTCGTACTCCCCGGATGGGACGAAACTAGCAGCAGGCACAGAGAAGCACATCATTATTTGGAATTCAGCGAGTGGGGAAGAGTTGCTGAAAATAGAACGGCCGGCATGGCGAGTTGCATTCACTCCAGATGGTCTCCGTCTCGTCAGTGGAAACCTGAGAGACATCCGAATATCAGATGCTACCACCGGAGACATCATCAAACAGTTCGACGCGCATACTACCGAATCCTTTTTATCACTGGCCATTGCTCCCAATGGCATCAAATTAGCCACCACATCACACGACAAGACGACACGGTTCTTTGACTTGACCACTTTCGAACCCATTGGCGAGCCACTCGAACACCCTGATCCAGTCTGGTCTGTGGCATTTTCCGAGGACAGCAAACTCATCGCGACTGGCTGTCAGGACGGACATGTTCGCACATGGACAATTCCTCTGCCAGTGAGCGAGTCAGAGAAGGAGCTCCAACAGGCGAGCAAATCATCTCGTCGTATCATACTTCACGCCCGCTGACCCTGTCATATAGTCCACTCAGAAAATTCTCAAGGTACGCCGCTTTCACGCTCGTTGTTTTGTACAATCCCTAATTTCAGTCCTGCAGACAACCATCCCAGACCCACGGCCTCGCCCAAAACGCGCTCCAATATCGACTAGTAGATTCTTCGATGATGTAAGCCCATATGATACAGTAGGTCTGATGCACGTCTCACCATCCTTTAACAGTTTGATCCAACTGGACGCAATAATCGCGTCGGCACTACGCGCAACGCCAAAGGTTCCAAAATCAAAAACATGATAGATCGTATCTTTTTTCGCTCCTCCGCTTCCCAGGACCATACTCCTCACCCACGCGGGGTTCCTTTTGTGGCTGTCTTTGCAACACGAGGCAAATATGTAAGCTTTCCTGACTTTTTGACACCCATCTAGTGACGTTGATATTGTCTCGCAGCGCACCGCTAATGCCCACAGTGGAAAAAGGGATAGGTTGTTGAAGCTACAACGTCCTCCTCGCAACCAAGCTCACGCTGGTGCCTCAAGCAGCAGCACGCCACCACCGGAGACATCCAATGTGGTCAATGAAACTGGGCCAGCAACGTTGCAGACTGAAAGTACCAGACCCTCTTCCCCACTAGACGCCGCACATGTCCCACACAGCAGCTACTTTGCGGTTCTCGCAAGGTGCCTCCCATGTTTATCACGATCCGCTCCAAGTTTCCGCTAGGCTTCTTTTCCCTTCTGAGCATTTTTATTGGAGTAGATGTTACTGGATATATCGGAAGATACTTATGCAATTCAATTATGTTGCCGGTAGAGGACTATCATCGTACGCAGCATTCTCTCCTTCAGCTGAATAAATACCACTCATTTGCCTGTCATACCGATTTTCTGGATTGCTTGCGCTAACAGAGCAAACAACGATACGTAACTTCATCCCATACTTGCATGGCCAACCTCTGAGTGTATTGACAAGTCATCCTGCACTTGCAGATGAATGGGTCTATTACCGAGTTTTCCTTGCTGTTTGGTGTACTAGTCATAGTAGTCACTTGCAAATAATCGTCGATGGGGGCATGCAGAGTCCCTAGCTTCTCCTCTGCTGGACTACTGGTCCGCATCACTACCAAACTTGTTTCCACATCGCGAAGCAAACGAGTACACGTGCCTCATTATTGCCGAATTTGAAATTATCGTGATTCTCACTTCAAATGACAATGTCATTTTAATTTCTGAGCATGTCCATGCGGCGTCCTGTTTGAAGTTAACTTCTTACTAGCTATATAATCACGCATATTTGCTATATAAAGTATGTCACACGACTGACCTCTCTAACTCACTAAGCCATGCTTGCTACCGTCCTGTTGCTTGCTCTGCCGTTCAGCAGCGCAGAGTCAGCATCCAGTTATGCAGGATCAACCGTCGTCGATTCTTATCCTCCCCCCGGTGCCACCAACACTGCTGTTGACGCTTACTTCCCAGATGCATCTCAAGTCGGTTATGCAGGTCCAACGCCTAGTAAGCGATAATGCTAATTGTGTTTCCTGTGTTCTAATCAAAAACATTCAGCTGGTGCTGAACCTGCGGCCATTGTCACTGCCATCCCGTTCTCTAAGGTCGAAAACATATTTCCCTTGTCGAGGCCGAACTCGGCAGATGGCATAGACAGCACTTTTAATGTGACGCGTCACTGGGGAAACTTGTCGCCCATGTACTCCGTAGAGTCATTTGGTCTTCCTGATGCATCCCCCATCATTCCAGAAGGGTGTGGTCTCAATGCGGTGCATCTTTTGATGCGCCACGGCGCCCGCTATCCAACTTCTGGCTCCGGACCTTCTAAGTTCGCCTCTGACATTCATGCTGCTGCACTGAAAGAAGGCTTCAGCGTCACTGGTGATTTGGAATTCTTGGCAACCTGGACATATAAGTTGGGTGCGGAGATCTTGACGCCTTTTGGCCGCGAATCGGTGTACGTTCGCTCTCGTTTGCGATGCTTCCACTGACGCTCTCCTCCGTCAGCTTTAGCAACGGGGTTGCCTTTCGCTACAGATATGGCCAGTTGCTTAATGCCTTCACGGACCTCCCAGTATTCCGTACTACTTCTGAAGGTTTGCCTGCATCGAACGTTTGTTTATGGTTTGCTTATGTCGTATAGATCGCATGGTGGATTCTGCGTAAGCGATTCGTTCATATTTCTGCATGTGCTGCGCCTGATGATGCTATCGGTAGCCTGAACTTTGCTGCAGGCTTTTTTGAAATCAGAACTTACGAGACCGACTATCACCAGGAGATCATCATTGAGGAAAACAAATACAACAACACCCTCGCTCCTTATGAAGTGTGTCCCAACGCCAATTCGGAGGATATCGGTTACTTCGGTGGCACTGAGGCCGGTAAATGGGCGGATATCTATCTCAAAGATGCTCAAACGCGCTTGCAACCAATGATCCAAGGATTTAATTTGACCATCTCACTATTGGTTGACATGCAAGAACTGTGCGCCTATGAGGTAATCCCATCCTTTTATGCAGTCTTCATGGATTTGTGACATCCTGCAGACGGTGGCCCTCGGATATTCCAAGTTTTGCGACCTTTTCACTGAGCAAGAATGGGAAGGATTCGAGTACTACATCGGTATGTTCCCTCAAATCATCCTTGCTGAGCTCGGCGCTGATCTCTATTTGCAGATCTTGGTGAGCACATTGAGCGGCAAACTTGTGGCCTGAGCGACTACTGACTTTGTTGTGAACACAGAGTTCTGGTACAGCTATGGACCAGGCAATCCAACAGCTGCAGCGCAGGGCCTTGGCTATGTTCAGGAGCTAGTGTCGCGTCTCACTCACATTCCCATCAATGTCTGGAACAGCAGCACCAACAGCACTCTTGACTCGAGCAACATCACATTCCCTCTTAATCAACCTATATATGTGGACGCTACCCACGACGTGGTCATCTCCAGCAGTATGTTGTCACTGCCTTCCTTTCTAATGCAAGACTACTGACAAAAGGGCTCAGTCGTCACTGCTTTGAACTTTACCAGTCTAGCTGCGACTGGCCCTCTGCCAACCGACCATATACCCCCTCGCCGTGTATGCAGTCTCATGACCCACCGCTTGTGTCTATTTCTGACGAGTCGTCACTTCAGTCTTACATTTCTAGCCAGATCGCACCTTTTTCCAGCCAGCTTGTAGCGCAGGTGCTCAGTTGCCCAGCCTCAGAGGAACCAACTCATATCCGGTTCCTTCTGAACGATGGCGTGGTACCACTGACGGGCATTCATGGTTGTACAGAAGATTCGAACGGTCTCTGTGTGCTGCCCAGCTTTATCAGCGGAACGCATGAAAGAATCGGGCAGATCAATTACGCGCATGATTGCTTCGCCAATTATACCATACCCAATCCCGACAACATCATTGATGGAAGATACCCCAGTTAAAAGGATGAATTAGTATTTGGTTGTATGCACCCACAAGTTGACATCTTTTGGATAACGTTTATGATGTCGAGAAAAGGTAAACGACGCGCATTTTGTACCAATCCGTTTTTGACCGACAGATTTTGTTGTTACATGTACTATGATGTGTTATATACTGTTGCGCAGAGGGACTGCTTCCCACCATCAGAATGACATGTCCGAATAAAAGCGCAGATGGATGGTGAGCAGTGTGGAGCTCATGTGGAGCACGTACATGGGGGTCATGCGAATTGCTTGTGCTGGAAACGTTTCACCTTAGAATGTTAGATGTCGATCTAGCACCGCGTCTACCTTTCCAAAACTGTGCTTCAATACAGGACTGTGAAATAACTGTTGCACCCTTGATTAGCAAGTCCCTCGACGGCGACGGCTGTCTATCTCAGACAGAGATCCAAGGAGAATGGTCACTGTTATTTCGTAAACCAAGGAGGCATTGGAAACAGCCTATCCAACCTAAAGCATATAAAAGACCTTGCTGAACCTTCAAATTGCAGAATTCGAAGCTTTCCAACTGCCCGCGGGAACACAAGCTTGAAGCTGGTGTGCCTGAGGATATGATGGCACCACAGCCTATTGATTCATTGCATCCATGTGGTCACCTAACATTAGAAGAACAGTGCGAGAAGAAGATATCTTGGTTTAACTGATAGGCTGACCGATAAACTGTATCAGCCACGACATGTTGAAGCGCAGTATGTAAAAGCGGTCACGGCGTCTACTATGGCCCAGGAAACTTTCTGAAAGAAGCACTTGGATCACTATTAGTATAGTACCAAGAAGCAAGATCGGTAGAAAAGAGTAATTGCAAGTCTACGCTAATAGTCTACAGCAAGGCCAACATGGTGGTTCAACGATAGTATCTTGTGCATCACTCACCAAGCACACATAAGAGTCTGTTCCCTCGCTCAACACTCCTACTGACCGAGACACCGAACAAGAATGGCGGCTACCACGGACGAAGTATCATCCAAAGGAATAACTCGAAAGGTGCCACCTCATGTCGAAATGACACTCAAGGGTCATGAAGGGGATGTGCGCGGCGTAGCTTTTATCGCAGGGACTCGTCTCCTCGTCACTGGCTCCGACGACAAGAGCCTTCGGGTGTGGGATCTGGACACGGGGAAACAAGTGGGAGAGCCATTATGGGGTCACGATGCTGAAGTCTGGAGGATGGTATCGTCCCCTGATGGACATTGGATAGCGAGTGGAGGATGGAATGGAAGCATTCTGGTCTGGGAAGTTGCGACAAACGAGAGAGAGCTCAAAAGAGTGCTCGTCTCGTTTAAGGGCCATGAGGATGTGGTTCGTGGCATCGTATTTGCACCGGACAACAAGACATTTGCAAGTGCATCACTGGATGGAATGATATGCGTGTGGAACAGGGAGACGGGAAAAATAGTCCTCGGACCGCTCAAAGTGGGCGATCTGGCATTGTCGGTGTCGTACTCTCCGGATGGAACAAAACTAGCAGCAGGCACAAATGAGCACATCATCGTGTGGAATCCAGCAAGCGGAAAAGAGTTGCTGAAGATAGAACAGCGGGCATTCAGAGTCGCATTCACTCAAGATGGTCTCCGACTCGTCAGTGGAAACCTGAGAGACATCCGAATATCAGATGCTACCACCGGAGACATCATCAAACGGTTCGACGCGCACACCGAATTCTTTTTATCACTAGCCATTGCTCCCAACGGCGCCAAATTTGCCACCACATCATACGACAAGACGACGCGGTTCTTTGACCTGACCACTTTCGAACCCATTGACGAGCCACCTGAGCACCCTGATTTAGTCTGGTGTGTGGCATTTTCCGAGGACAGCAAACTCATCGCGACTGGCTGTAAAGACAGCTATGTTCGCACATGGACAATTCCTCTGAGTGATTCAGAGAAGGAGCCCCAACAAGTGAGCAAAATATCTTACTTCACGCCCGCTGACCTGTCATATACATAGTCCACTCAGAAAATTCTCAATGTACGCCGCTTTCACGCTCGTTGTTTTGTATGATCCCTAACTTCAGCCCTGCAGAAAACCATTCCACATCAACGGCCGAGATGCGCTCCAATACCTACTGGTAGGTTTTTTGATGATGTAAGTCCATACGATACAGTATATTCGATGCACGTCTCACCATCCTTTGACAGTTTGATCCACATCCTCCACCTGGACGTAACAATCCTGCTGCTACCACCACGCGCCATGCTGAGGGGTCCGGGATCAAGAACATCAAGAACATCGTGAACCATCTCTTTTACCGCTCCTCCACTCCCCAGGACCATACTCCTTTCCCACGGAGAATCCCCCCTGTAGACGTCTTCGCGACACGAGGCAAATATGTAAGTCTTCCTCCTTTTGACGCATCTCATGATGATGACACTTCCCCGCAGCGCACCGCTAATGCCCACAGTGGAAAAAGAAATAAGTTATTGCAGCAGCAACGTCCTCCTCGCAAGCAATCCCATACCGGTGCCTCAAGCAGCAGCACGCCACTGGCGGTGACATCCAATGCGGTTGATGAAACTACGCCAGCAACATTGCAGACCGGAAATACCAGTGCAACTAACAATCCCCCTTCCCCGTTGGATGTTGAACATGTTTCAGACATCAGCTGCTTTGCAGCTCTCACAAGGTGCTTCCCGCGTCTTTCACGCACTCAACTAATAAGTTCTGCTACTCCTCATACCCGCTGAGCGGCCTCTCCTATCCGAACTTTTCATTGGGATGGATACAACTGCCGCATTCATTTTCTTTCAGATACTTATGCAAACCAGTTACTCCCGATAAACGACTGCAATTGTACTATGATATACAACATTCATAGATGTTCGGAATGGTATTTTTTCTTCATCCTCCTTTCGCGAATTCTGGACAGAACGTGAAAATGGCAGCCAAGACTCCGATCTCGTATACCATCACCTCGGACCATCAAAAGAATGCAGTTTCGGTGCCATCTATTTGCCATCGATATCCCCGCAATCTTGACTAAAGCACTTGCTGAAAGCGCAACCTGGATCTGAACGAATCTACTGGAGAGTACTACACAACCACCCCGGCTTGATGAAGGAAAGCCAGATTGTTCTGTCCAATAACTGCTGTTCGTATCTCAACGTTTTCGATGTTAGCTTAGCATCATCAGCCGGAGTCCCAACAATCTGATACGGTTGCATGTCTTATGATGCCATTGCCAACGGTGACCAGGGCATAAATGTTGTCGGCGAGAACCATTCTGTAAGTACTGGTGTAGTGATGCTCACGAGTCACAGTATTGGAAGGACAAAAATCATTCATCACAGACTAGTAAGAGCACGATGATGCACAAGAGCTTGTTTCACACTCCTCAGTCCGCAGCCGGCGTTCTCTGTTCAGTGGTGATCATAAGGGATGCTTCCGTCAGACGCTCCACTCATAATCCACCGCCCATCTGGGGACGCTGCAACAGTCCTCAAACAATTTGACATCGATAGCAGTTTGTATGCTTAACCTCGCGCGTATATGGGCCAGTTCAGCATCTCTCGCTCCGTGTTCGCATGGCGGTCACACTTGTAATCGTGGAATCGATTGGCTTGCAGTGCTCAGGAGAAACTATGCAACGGAGAAAAGCTGCCACTTTCGAGAACCGATGATACAGGCAGGAACGAACATCTCATTCTCCATCAGCCTGATCTGGTGGTGCTATTAACGCAGCCAATGAGTATCAAGCAATTGATTCGTTACATTCACGTTATCACTTATCGGTACAATACACATGCAGGAAGAGATCGGGTCAATTGAGTCAAACATGGCCGGGAAATTATGACAGGTTGAGACACAGTAAAAGTGGCCACGGCACCTACTGAAGAAAGCTCCTGGAAGAAGCGCTGGAGATGATCCGTATGCAGGACACCACGTGTCTACAGCAAAGCTGACATCAGGGTTCGGGGATAGTCAGTATCTTACAGCAATTACAGAAGATGCAACTTGACGACTACTCACTATAGCGCATGTAAGTGATTGCTGCTCCCTCAGTATTCCAGCTAACCGAGACACCGAACAAGATTGAATATTGAATGGCGGTTACCACTCACAAAGTATCCACAAAAGCGCCCGCCCAGCCTGTTGAACTGACACTCAAGGGTTATGAGGAAGCTGTGTGCGAAGTAGCTTTCATCCTCGGTACCCGTCTCCTCGTCACTGGCTCGCACGACAAGAGTCTTCGGGTGTGGGATCTGGACACGGGGAAACAACTTGAAGTGGGAGAGCCCTTGTTGGGACAAGATGCCATGGTCAATGCGGTCTCGGCGTCCCCTGATGGACGTTGGATAGCGAGTGGAGGATGGAATGGAAGCATCTTGGTGTGGGAAGTTGCGACAAACAAGAGAGAACTCAAAAGAGTGCCCATCTCGTTTAAGGGCCATGAGGATGTGGTTGATGGCATCGTATTTGCACCGGACAACAAGACATTTGCAAGTGCATCACGGAACGAAACGGTATGCGTGTGGAAGAGGGAGACGGGAAAAATAGTCCTTGGACCACTCAAAGTGGGCAGCTGGGCAAACTCGGTGTCGTACTCCCCGGATGGGACAAAACTAGCAGCAAGCACAAATAAGCACATCATCATTTGGAATTCAGCAAGTGGAAAAGAGTTACTGAAAATAGAACAGCGGGCATGGCGAGTCGCATTCACTCAAGATGGTCTCCGACTCGTCAGTGGAAACCTGAGAGACATCCGAATATCAGATGCTACCACCGGAGACATCATCAAACGGTTCGACGCGCACTACCGAATTCTTTTATCACTAGCCATTGCTCCCAATGGCACCAAATTTGCCACCACGTCACACGACAAGACGACGCGGTTCTTTGACCTGATCACATTCGAACCCATCAGCGAGCCACTCGAGCACCCTGATCCAGTCTGGTGTGTGGCATTTTCTGAGGACAGCAAACTCATCGCGACTGGCTGTGCTGACAACCATGTTCGTACATGGATAGTTCCTCTGAGCGAGTCAGAGAAGGAGCCCCAACAGGTGAGCAAATTATCTCGTCGTATCATACTTCACGCCCGCTGACCTGTCATGTAGTCCACTCAGAAAATTGTCAAGGTACGCCGCTTTCACGCTCGTTGTTTTGTACAATCCCTAATTTCAGTCCTGTAGAAAACCATCCCGGACCCACGGCCTCGTCCAAGACTCGCTCCAATACCGACTAATAGATTCTTCGATGATGTAAGTCCATATGATACGGTAGATCTGATGCACGTCTTACCATCCTTGACAGTTTGATCCAACTGGACGCAACAATGGCGCCAGCACTACGCGCAACGCCAAAGGCTCCAAAATCAAAAACATGGTATATCGTATCTTTTCTCGCTCCTCCGCGTCCCAGGGCCATACTCCTCGTCTACTCGGGGTTCCCCTTGTAGACGTCTCTGCAACACGAGGCAAATATGTAAGCTGTCCTGACCTTTTGACATCCATGTAGTCACGTTGATATTGTCTCGCAGCGCACCGCTAATGCCCACAGTGGAAAAAGGGATAAGTTGTTGCGGCTACAACGTCCTCCTCGTAACTGGCAAGCTCACGCTGGTGCCTCAAGCGGCAGCACGCCACCAGCGGAGACATCCAATGTGGTCAATGAAACTACACCAGCAACGTTGCAAACTGGAAGTACCAGACCCTCTTCCCCACTAGACGTCGCGCATTCCCCACACAGCAGCTGCTTTGCGGTTCTCCCAAGGTGCCTCCCATGTTTATCACGATTCGCTTCAGGTTCCCGCTAGGCTTCTTGTCCCCTCTGAGCGTTTTCATTGGAATAGATGTTACTGAATCCATTGGAAGATATTTACGCAATTCGGTGATGTTCCCGGTAGAGGACTACCATCATACGCAGCATTCTCTCGTTCAGCTGAATTGATACCACTCGTTCATACCTAATTATCTGGATTGCTTGCGCCAATAGAGCACACAATGATATGTAACCTTATCCGATACTTGCATGGCCAACCTAATCTATTGACAAGGCATCTATCGACTGCTGCATACAAGAAACATAATGCATCACATATCTTGATTTCAGCATAAGCATAAAGTACTTAAAAAGTCAAACACCGCATACGCGGAGAGCAGCACGCAGACCACTGTGCAGGCATACGGATGCTACCGTAACATTCGTGCATGCGACGAGACTGTCGCATGACAACCGCCGGCTCGCTCTGAAGAAAAGGGATAACCTGAAGACACCGACAGGCTGCCAAGATGCGACAAGAAGTGCAAGGGAGCTGGCCTAGCTGGCCGTGGCGTCACCAGCCACGAACCAGTCCCACACAAACCAGCTCGCGCAGTCATAGTGCGCGCATAGGATCCGCGGCAGTAGAATAACCCGTGCCATCTAGAACACAGTCACGCCCGATTGCGTCCCCGCATACTGGCTCTTCACGTCGTCGAGGTCTGTCGTACCGTCCTGGCTCTTGTAATCATACCCACTCATGCTGGCCATGTCAGAAGCACCAGCAGCAGAGGAGAAGGAGCCACGCCTCTGTAAACGGTCTGATTGCGAGAACGCCATGGCAGAACCGCCAATGCTTGCGGTGCTTGGCGGTCCAGCATCCTGAGAGATGATGGAGCTGGCGTAGCTACCGTACGCACTGCGCTTCCCAACACCCCCGGAGCCACGGGGTATACCAGGACCAAATCCACCAGCCGCTGCAAACATGGGGAGTCCGGAGGAATAAGTGGCTTGGGAGCGTAGAGACTGCACGTCAGACGGGATGTATCCGAGAGCATCATGAGTGCGGTAGAAACTAGTATCGAAGCGACTTGGTGTTCCAGATCTGCCTGCACCTCCAGTGCTGGGGATGTAGTCCCGTGCATTTGTCTCGTGGCGACGAAACTGGTCCATGGACTTGACGAGGGAGCGGCGAGGTTTACTGAATTGTATCATGCTCGCCTGTAAGTTGTTCAGCGGGCCCTCGACAAGGGTGTTACGTTCCTTGTAGTGCGTAAGAAGGTAGTGCCACAGTGGGTGCTATAAGATTCAATCAATCAGCGGACTGTAGGATCGACCACCAAAGCGACTTGCCTTGCTGAGAACCTTTGGGTTTCCGAGGATGACGACTCCATACTTTGCACGAGTCAAAGCTACGTTCAAGCGACGAGGGTCATTTAAGAAACCGATACCCTGGTGTTCATTGCTTCTAACGCAGCTCAAAATGATATAATCCTTCTCTCGTCCTTGGAAGGCGTCGACACTGGCCACCTCAATATCCTTATATAGTTCTTTCTTGAGAGACCCGTTGAACTGCATATAGTTGACAATGTAGGAACGTTGGCCCTCGTAGGGTGTGACAACGCCGATTTGGTTAGGTACGACACCCGATTTGAAGAACTTGGTCACAATCTTCTCAACGTTGGATGCTTCCGTCCTGGGATCAGTGATGAGCGGCTGCAAATAGAGATGAGACATGAGAAGTACCTATTGAGGAACGAAGTTCCGCTGGAGGATATTTCCTCCTGACCAAGGTTCTGGTAAAAGAACATCGGAGTGTCCGGGGCGGGCCAAGGGAAATCAACATTTTGCGAAGACGTTCTGGAGCAGTGACACCATTCTGTAGCGTGCCTTCATAAAACATGTTCGAGGGGAACTCGGATAAACAAGGGTGCATGCGGTACTGTACTTGCAGACGAATGGGTCTATTGCCGAGTACAACCAGACGTTCAAAGAGCGATTGTGTCAGACCAGCACGCGCTGCTTTCTTGTTCATGATAACCGGACCAAGCTGCTGATGATCACCGACAAGGACAACCTGCTTACACCCAAGCACCAGAGGGATCATACATTCTGGTTTAAGGTCAGCCAATTACTAATTCATCAAAGGATACAAGCTCCGCACCTGGCTCAGCAGCTTGCGTAGCTTCGTCGATCAACACCGTCCTGAACTTGAGTTTGTTGAGGCGAGGATCACCAGCACCCACGCACGTGCAGCAGATAACATCCGCAGCACCCAAGATCTCCTTCTCGCACTGCCTGATCAATGTCTTGTACTTCCTCTCATCATTGGAGCTCAATTCTCCTTGTTCGTTCTTCAGCATGATCAACTTCTGCAACTCCACGTGAGTTGTATTATTTGCCACTTGTTGGTGCAGCGTCAAGAAGGCGACGCTAGAGTCTAGAGCTTCGCGAGATTTGGCAGTCAGACGCACGACCTTTAAACCAGTGGCGTGAATCTTTTCAGTGAGCTGGTCGACAGCCACGTTCGACGGCGCGCAGACGAGAACCTGACCGGGATTCATCTTGGCAAGATGATAGACGATTGAAGCGGAGGTCACGGTCTTTCCAGTACCAGGAGGGCCCTGGATCAAACTAATGGGCTTCTGCAGAACGCTCTTAACTGCATACATTTGAGAGTGGTTAAGCTCGGGAAGACCTGGCGCAGAGAAACGCTTAGGCATCTGCGTGCGGAGAACCTGGGGAGCAAGATCATGTCCGAGAAGCTTGTGATACTAGCGAGGGGCTCAGCGACTTCAATAGGATAGAGTGACGAACGTACAATGTAGCCATTAACGCTCTTCTCATCGACTGCAAACGTCTTCATTGCCAACTGCATCCTATCAAAGCTGGTGGATTTCCAGACAAAATCTGCCGCAAAGTTATGCGTGCAATCAGTAGGTACACCTTCGGTCCGTCGCAATTCAAGCCCAATTTCATCGGAAATGTCTAGAAAATGAGCATGAGCGCAACACTTTGTCTCGTGACATAAAGCTTACTGTTCGGAATCTTGATGACGTGTCCTACCCCATCCCAAGCTTTGTGCAGTTCTCCCTGGTACCTCAACCGTAATTCATCACCCACCGCAAGTCTGACTTCGCCACTCTCAAGCTTGGGCAAGCAAAACCACGCAACTCTCTTCTGGTTCAAACCAACATCCCATCGGACAGTTATATCAGTCTGAGTCTGACTCTCCTTCAGGCGTTTATCATAATCAGCCTCGATCTTGACGAGAGGTCCGAAAATATTCTGATATTGATATGCGTCCTCGTAGTGGAGAAGGATAGGCTGCGGCTCATCATCAACACCAGGCTTCTCGAGGTCCTCCAGCGTGGCATTGGCATTTTCACGCCAGAGATCTTCCAAGCGGTTAATCTGGTTGAACGATATCTGACGAGATCGAAGTTGTTCGGTTTCGGTGGGAGGCTTCACGAGCCACGAAAGGAAAGACCTGTCATCGATCAACGGTGCCCATAGGGAAGCGTTCCAAGACATGTCCTTGCTGACCGTCGCACAGGGCTGGCTGCACATATACCATGAATATGAGTCTCGGTGCTAACCTGGCAGGCTTACCGACACAAAAGGATAACAACAGTATCGCTCTTTGCGGGGATAAATCCCAGCATGAATACGTTCTTGCTACCACAATTATAGCATTCTGGGGTAGTTTCCCCGAGCGGACTCTCGGCATGCAAAATAACCTCCTTATGCTTTGCGCGCACTAGATGGTTCACGATATGTGAGGCGGAAGTGTTGCCGCGCGAGTTGCAGAACCATTTAGAGCACACAAGGCACTTCACGACGGAGGCTGGCGAGTGGATTCCGCAGTAGCTGAGCGGGACCGATACGGATTGAGTCATATCCCACGAATAATACGTGTAAAACTTACCTGCAGGCATGAGGAGGGAGATCCATAGTACCCTCGTCTTTGAGGTCGTCAAGAACAGCATAGAAATCTTCATCTACACCAGTTCTCGGTGTGTGATGGTGGTGCCCTTCGTGTCCATTGTTGTATGAGGATGTTTGGGAGCGATCGTCTACGATAGAGAGACTTTCTAGGTCGACTGGCGTTCCAGTGTTCGTAGTTGCAGTATATACAGAGGAATTATCATCTACAACGCTGATAGCGCCGCCATACGATGAAGCTGAATCTGTATATTGAAAGTTGTCGAAGCTGTCCATGGTGGTTTGCGGTGAAAGGTTCTTTACGGCTTGCCACGGTACCTCAGCCTCATTAGAAAGAAATCCCACGCTCAGATTTACGAAATGTAATTGATTGAAGCAAGATTCGAGGACCGTCAATTTCCTGCAGCTGCAGCTTAGATTTCACGGAATTTCAAGATTTAGCGGGAGTCCCGAATACATACAACACAGGATGAATTTCAATTCCATTGCGACTGATACAAATGTTTGAATACTGCAAATGACAATGATCCAAGTCCCATCCATACGGATGTCAAGATGCCACAAATATGTACCACCAGCCATAATGGAAACAACCAGATAAAATAAAAAAAGAATGAGCGACTTTGTTTTAGGATGCATTACATACAATTAACGCCTTTGCTTCTGGCGTATTCTGGGACGCGTGGGCGTCTCATTAATGGGTGGTAAGCGTGAAGGGATACCGTCCACTGGGTGCGAAATCGCTCTGCTAGAAGGTTCGCCAAGGACTGTGCGATTGCGTTGATGGCCGGAGGGTTTGGAAGGGGGGGCCCACTTTGATGCCCTGATGCCTTCCACTCGCTCCATTGGCACATCCTCGACTTCGGCAGCTAGCGGCTGGCTGCTCTCACGCGCACACTCCTGAGGTTCCTCGGGCTCTGCAGACTCCTCAGAAACTTCCACTTCGAGGTCTTGGTCCATAGCGTCTACATCTGCTTGTTCTATTTCTTCCCCCTCGTCTTCCTCTTCAGTGTCGTCATCATAGAAACCACTTGGAGGCTCTCCAATCCATTCATCCTCATCAGTGCCAAAGTCCCACACATCAAGCACTGTAGCAGGATTTCGATTGCTGGCAGCGACACACCAACGACCCTCGAAGACTACCTGCCAAACACCCTGGATGCCTGTCAGGAGATCACGGACAACGGTACCATCGCGTACGTTCCACATCTTGAGCGTACCATCTGACCCGCTGAGCACCTTGAACTCGTCATGTTGGAAGCACGTAATAGCACCCGTATGGGCAGCAAGGGTGTGGCGTAGTTCTCCAGATTCGGGATCCCATATGCGCAAAGTGGAGTCGGCAGCGGCGGAAACGAGGTGGGAAGGGGAGAGGCCGAGTAGGCCGACGAGCGATGTGTGCCCAGTCAATGTATGTTGACACTGCCCTGTGCGTAAGTTCCACACACGAACAGTGCCATCCATAGACCCCGAACAGGCTATCTGACGGTAGATATCAAGTACAACGCTATACACTAGGGACGGGGCTTTAATGACAGGGTTTCGAGGTATACAGGAATACGAACCTTTCTGTGTGTGGCCCACAAGCACCCATTTACATTCGCCAGTGACGATGTCCCATATTCTTACAGTACAGTCATAGCTGCCGGATACAAGGGTGCGGCCACGGGCGGCGAGAGCACGAACTGCATGGTCATGACCCTCTAGATGCATCTTATGATACGGATTATCATCTGCATCCTCCTGCAAATCAAAGATATGAGAACAAAATGCGAAACGCCTTATACAATCTTACATCAGCTGGGTCAGCCTCGGAGTCATCTGCACCATAGCATCTGTACTCAGGATCACCGGGGCGAGGTAAAGTCCACACACGAAGGGAGTGGTCACGGCTGCCGGTCACGATCACTGACCGCTTTGGCCACTTTTCCCTCGTAATGACACCGCTATCGCCTTCGATTTCGATCCACTCTGGCTTGACGATAGCCAGACATCGGACAGTGCTTGTATGGCCGCCAAATATATGCGTACATCGACCAGTTGCAAGATTCCAAATTCGGACTGTGCGATCAGTCGACCCGCTGACGAGCGTATCTTTGCAGGCGGCAAGCGCCCATACGCCACCTTCATGGCCATCCAACATTTGCAGGAGTTCACCTGTCAAAGGGGAATACACATGAATTGAGTGATCATCGGACGCCGATATTATGCGTCCGTGTGAAAGAAGAAGACAAGTGACGACAGAGGAGCCGTGTGCGGGGAAGGATCGATGTTTCGGGTTCTCGTTGTCCACCCATCGAGTTCGAGTGAGTTGTCGGGATTTGAAGAGCATCTTATATGGATGAGAGAGGGGAAGGGTTTTGGGAGTAGGGGGAATATTGAGGCGACGTCTAGCAAAGATTGAATGCGCAAAAGCTCGCTCTGTAACGCCTCCAAACCAGATCTTGGTACTTTTGAGTAGATCTGACCAAAGTACAGGATCAGAGTCGATAATGACGCGCCAAGCTTTGGATACTCTGGAGGCACGAACTACAGTAGAATAAGGAAGGAAACTCAGAACATGGGATGCAAGTTCCGGGGGAAGTAATGTTAAAAAATCACGCGCCAGAGTCGGAGTTAAAATAGAATGCAACGTCCGCAGAACGGGTAAGGGAGAATGCCGTAATAAAGTAAGGAGGAAATGAGATTGTAACGGTTGCGGAAGACTTGTAAAATGTGATAAAAGAGACGGAAGGGTAAGAAGGGTTGTTAGGGCAAGATCTGGTTGTAGTGGTGCTTGAGGTTGTGGGGAAGAGGCGCCACTAGGAGGTGCAGAGAGCCATATAGGCTGTGGTGGTGGTGACCCATGAGGAGATGGTAATGGTGATGGAGGTGCGGCTGCATTCAAAGTAGTAATCGGCGGAAGATGTGTCGCCCTTGCCTTCTTTCGGGGAGGCGTATGTGTTTCACGCTCAGTCGTAGGCTCTACGCCCTCCATCATATTGTCAGTGCCGTGTGACCTTTTTCTGCCATAGCGCTCAAC